TCCAGCGCTTCCAGAGCAACAACCGGTCGCGGCTTAGCACCGGCTCCTTCGCATCCAGCATCCAGGCATCCTCGCAGGCAGGCCTCGGGAGCTCGTACATGGGGATGATGGAGCACAGCTCCCGCGCGCCCTCCGTGCGCAGCCTGGCCGAGTCCAGCCACCACCTCCAGGACCAGCGTGCCATGGAGATGTACAACGGGCACAGCACGCTGCTCAGCCACCAGTCGGGGGGGTGAGTGCCAACAGGGCTGGCCCGGCACTGCCGTAGTCCTTGTCCCCGCCGTAGTCCTTGTCCCCACCGTAGTCACTTGGCCGGTTGAGGGCAAAACCTTCCATCTCTTGCCTGGCGTTACCTTGCTGCAAGGGATGCAGGAGGAGGGGTGAGATGGTGGACACAATTTGGCCCCGTAGTGATGGGCCGTGGCATGGGTTGACCTTCAAGTGTGTCCTGCGTGCAGCCTTAGTTCCTCTCGTGGACGCATCCTGAGACGTGAGGGTAGGAAGGTGCTCGTTCAGCTGGGGCTGGAGTCCCGCGTCCCAAGAACGGTGGGGAGGGAGATGGGTTGATGTGTCTCCTCTGAGCTGCGGGACATGGTGGGACGCAGAGGTGGAGGACCCCCATGGGATGCTCTGCTCGGGCTCTTCCTCACCTACCTGTGGCTTTCCAGGTTTGATGACATCGACCTGCCCTCCGCAGTGAAATACCTGATAGCCAGCGACCCCAACCTGCAGGTCCTGGGCGCTGCCTACCTCCAGCACAAATGCTACAGCGACAGCAATGCCAAGAAGCAGGTGAGCACCCAGGCGCCAAGAGGGAAGGGGCTGTCCCAGCGCCTCTGCTGTGGTGGGGCACCCCAGGGAGGGTGGAGGAGATGGCGGGAGCCCCGAGCGGCTGGACAGCTTAACCCAGCCGGGCTCTCCCCTCCCAGGCCCGCAGCCTCCAGGCCATGCCCAAGCTGGTGAAGCTGTTCAACAGCCCCAACCAGGAGGTGCAGCGCCATGCCACGGGCGCCATGCGCAACCTCATCTACGACAACGCCGAGAACAAGCTGGCGCTGGTGGAGGAGAACGGCATCTACGAGCTCATGCGGACGCTGCGGGAGCCCGACGACGAGCTCCGCAAGAACGTCACAGGTTTGGAGACAGTGGCAGGGGTGGGCAGGGGTCCTCCTCCCTTGGGGTGGCACGTGGTGCCCCCACCCCATGAGTAAGGCTGGGATGATGCTTCACGGGGATGACCTCTTGGCATCATTGTCACCCATCCCATCCCGTGGCTGCTCCTGGCTGCGGGTGGTCGGCACGAGCCCCCCGGGGAGGTGAGTCGGGGTGGACGTGCTCTCCAGCCATTCCTGGGACTGAGGATCCCCCTCTGCTCAGGGATCCTGTGGAACCTCTCCTCCAGTGACAACCTGAAGGATCGCCTGGCCCGGGACACGCTGGAGCAGATCACGGACCTGGTCCTGGTCCCCCTCTCCGGGCTGGGGGGCTCGGGTGTCATCCAGCAGAACCCCTCAGAGGCGGAGATCTTCTACAACTCCACGGGCTTCCTCAGGTACCTGCTCTGGGCCGGCTCCGGCCCTCTCACTGTGGGTGAAGGTTTGGGTGGAGGAAGAGGCACCACCTGTGCTGTATACGTAGGGAGCAAGGTCCCCAGGGCTCGTTTCTGGGGTCTCCATCCCTTGCGGCGCTTGTGCATCAAGGCAAAGCCTGGTCAGCCCCACGAGAGGGGTATTGGCTGCCC